AATTCTCTTCTTCTTTCTTTTGTTCCTAGTTCTTTCTCTGTTTCTAGTTCTTACTGTTCTTTCTTTCTTCCTAATTCTCGTTGTTTTTTCCTTCTCTCTGTTCTTTCTTTCTATTCTTTCTAATCTTTCTAACCATGATGGAATTCATGGTGATATACATGAATGATATGCATATGCAATAATGCATAAAAAATGCATTTTTCCTTTTTCTTTTTACTTCTTTTCTTTCCTGTCTATTCTTTTCTTTTCTTTCTTGTCTTGATTGCTCAAGCTTCTCTTTTCTTTCTTGTTTTTTTTTTTTCCTTTTTTTTCTTTGCTTGTTCAAGCTTTCTCATTCTTGTTCTTTCTTTTTCTTTCTTATTCTTATTCTTATTCTTTCCTATTCTTATTCTTTCTTATTCTTATTCTTTCTTATTCTTTCTTATTCTTTCTTTTCTTATTCTTTCTTATTCTTTCTTATTCTTTCTTTTCTTATTCTTTGTCGATCGGACTCGGTTGATGCATGGATTCGGAACCTTGGCCGTGTGAGTGAGTACAGTCCTCATCTACATGCACTCTTGCGGACCTTACAAATTCTTTCTTTCTTCTTACGCCACTCAATTAAGGTGGCATGCATGTAGAAATTCTTCTTGGTACAACCCTCATCCACATACACTTTTATGGGTCGTACAATTTTTCTTCTTCTTATGCCACTCAATTAAGGCGGCGTGTATGTGGGAATTTCTTCTTAGCACTCACGGTTCCCCATCACAAAAACCTATTCTTTTCTCTTCTTTAAAACTTTTTCTTTCTTTAATTCTTTAGTGCTTTTTCCTTCTTTTCTTTATTCTTAGAGTGTTTTATTCTTAAAATTCTTTATTCTTTCTTAAGTACTACATATATACAAATATATGCATATGGATGGCTCATGTTTAGAATTCTTATTTAAATGCACTCATGAAATGCAAATATGCAATGTTGCATAAAATTAAGGTTTCTACTCATACTCATGCTTCTCTTAGGCATTTCATCAAACAATAAATGTGCATATATAAACTCTACTTTAACTATAATTCTATTTGTTTCTTAAACCATCCAAAATGAGAGTAAAACTCTCTTGTATCATCACAATCCTTATCATGGCAAAACACTCCCAGAACTTTCTTAAAGTCTTCCAATTTCAACCAAACTTCAATCTATCATCATACAATCAAAAACACTTCTCATACTCAAATATATCCAACAACAAGCATAAATAATCACCAATCTCATCTCAAGTTCCCAACAATCATAACATATACATACTTAAAGAAATCTCTACTCAATTGATTTCTTAAACTTTAACTTGAGTTGGATTTTTGAGTTGGATTTACTTACCTTATACTTGAGTAGTCTCCACTAAAGCTCTCTACTCTTGTTGGACTCAAATTTCCCCTTAACCCTAAGGATAAACTTAATAAGAATTCAACTTCTACACAAGTAAATCTTATATATAGAGCAAGAATTCTTACCTCTTGTTGCCTAGGATCAAAACCTTATCAAAATCCACTCAAAAATCCTTGGAAAATTGAGTGAAACGTTGGGAGAAAATGGGGAAGGAAAGTGGCAGTGGAAGAAGAGAAATAAAGGGGTTTTAAAACTAAACCCTTAATATCTTATTTTATAAACATACTTTCTCATTTTGCCCTTACACTTTCTTAGAAATTCCATCTTTGTCCCTTAGTCAATTACCATAATGCCTCATTTTTATTGCATTCTCCATAAAATTCTCTCTCTTTTCACTCCCCACAATTTCAATTAATTTTGAGTGAAAATACTATTTTACACTTAATACAAGTTTAAGGCATTTTTTTTCATATTCTCTCAAAATAACTTTAACCAAAATCAACTAAGGGCTATAAAAATATAAATTAAATTACATACCTCCGTGTGGGCGTTACAGGCTGATGTGGAGTCTCGTCAGTAAAGGATGGTCAAAGCTCAAACGGGGTTCTGTGCTGTCCAGGTGCGGCCATGTCGCGCCTAGTGCAAGTGGTATGGCTCCTGTCAATGCAGCAAGTGAGTGCCAGGCCAACAAGTGGCTGGAGATCGCCCACGTGTCAAAGCCCTGCTTTAGTCAAGGAAATCCCTCGGGCAGGTCATCAATGGGACACAAAGGAAGGATTTGCATGACACCTACCCACTTGCAGCTTTTATAATCATTACCTTGAACTCTCCCACTATAAATAGAGGACTTCCCTCTCATTTGTAGGGGGATTAGCTAATTTTACGCTGAAATAGTGCGCTCTCTCTTTCTCTTTTGTATTCTCTTTCTAAACTGTAATTCAGCTTGCTGAACGTGACCTGACCTCTCTCTCTTATTAGTACAATAGCAGTGGAAGTAGGATTTGCTTTTGAGCATCCGAACCACTTTAAATATTGCTCTTCACCTTTTATTTAATTCAATCCTCCATATCACGTGTGACTTCTAAGTCTTTTTAGCATTTTACACGTGCGAGTAGTTGGTGTCAAAATCAAGCATCAACATGAGCAAACAACTCTTACATGAAGCAGAAATTGATTAAGAATTATTCCAGTTACTCATACTTAGAATTTAGATCATCAACATCACCTAGCCTACAGGGACCGACTTCTGTTATTTTCTCCACACATTTTTCACAAGAATCCCGGTTCTGATCGTATATATCAAACTAGTGGGAATTCCTCTCCATTTGAACCTACAATATAGAGTTCCCAGAATTTTTTTTTCTTAAAATGAAAATCATGGTCAATAAAAAAAGGAACTTATGTGTATACCAAGATCATCATCATCATCATCCGATTTACAATGAACGGTAAGCTCCAAGTTAACCTGCAAATCATTGACTATATAAACCTCTACATTTCTGTGTGAACTTAGAAAGTTGCATACTCTCATCATATTTGACATTATTAGTAGCTTTGGTAACAAAATCAGGGTCACTTCGTTGAATTCACTCATGCTTGATTTTACAGAGCAAGAAATTTGAAAGTTATATTGTTTCTAAATAGAATTAGGGGTGTGTTTATTATATATGATGTTGGATTAATGAATTAATAGAGTGACAACTAGGCTACACTTATGTGGGCAATAATTTTTTATTACATCTTTCTTGTTTTATTTTTGATAGAGTAAATATAAAGATTATAATAAGTATAGGACAACTTAATCTTTTAATGATAATAAAGATTATTAATTGCTATTCTCCTTATATGTTTTATAATTATGAGTTCAAGTCTGCAACTATAAAAAATAAATAAAAATTGGCTCACAACTCAATCTTATAAACTTCCTCGTACAATCTCGATGTGACAGCTCGTAATTGGATAGACGAGACCCATAGCAAGCAGGCAGGATCTATTTGCGAGTTAACCATATCAGGGGTTGTGAGAAAAAGTTTGTGAGATTGAGCGATAAATGTAGTATTATTGGGTTGAAGTGTTACTTTAATTAAGAGACAATTCAGGTAGGCAAATATGACATATGTGTGTATATATATATATATATATATATACACACACCCATATGGGTTGATCGTCACGTGTCACATTTTAGAAGCTCTAAAATTGCTCCATTTTGACATATTGGATTGACAAACCAATCAAATTGCTCTATCTTGATACGTTTGGGTTGGTGTTTATTGCTCCATCTATAATTATTAATTAATTAGAAAAATGAGATCTGTATTAATAATAATAATAATACAGGTGCATTGCATTAGCATTATAAATGTTTAACCATAATGACACTTTGGATTTGTGATTGTCATGTGGTTGAATTTTATTGGTGATGATGTAGATAATATTTATTGCTGCATTGGTATTTTAAAGTCTAAATTAATAGACATAAAGATTGGATTACATAGGTGCATTGGATTGGTAGTAAAAACATACATGTTTATTAATAATTATATATGTGCATTGTATTGATATTGCAAACCTTTCTTCGTATTCAATTCATATAATTTTTTTTATTAAGTATTCAATCCGTATTTAATTGTGTTGACATTCGAAAGATCTAAATAAGGGATCATAAAAGGGGCATATATTCAGTTGTGTATTATCACAATATATTAGTTGGTGTCAACAATATGTCTAGTCTTTTGTTAATTGTTTATATGTCATGTTAGTTTGTGTCAATAATACTTCTGGTCTTTTGTTAACTATACGACAGTTAATCTTTTAATGATAATAAAGATTATTAATTACTATTAATTACAATATGTTAGTTGGTGTTAATAATATGTTTGGTCTTTTGTTAATTGTTTATAAGTTATGTTAGTTGGCATCAATAATACGTATGGTCTTTTATTAAGTATACGACAACTTAATCTTTTAATGATAATAAAGATTATTAATTATTATTAATTGCTATTCTCCTTATATGTTTTATAATTTTGAGTTCAAGTTTGCAACTATAAAAAATCAATAAAAATTGGCTCATAACTCAATTTTATAAACTTTCTTTTACAACCTTGACGTGACAGCTCATAATTGGATAGACGAGACCCATAGCAAGCATGCAAGATCTATTTGTGAGTTGACCATATCAAAGGTTGTGAGAAAAAGTTTGTGAGATTGAGTGATAAATGTAGTATTGTCAGGTTGAAGTGTTACGTTAATTAAAAGACAATTCAGGTAGGCAAATATGACATTCATTTAATAATATTAATTGCCTGTTATGCTTACAAAGTTAAAAATAGCAAAATTAAATTTTTATCATTAAATGAGATAAATAAATATATTAATAAAAAATATTTCATTTCCAGTAAATAATGATTTTCAATTAAGAATTTCTTCCCTGCATTGTACATTTGTACACATGTAATTTTTTTCACGATATGGACTTGAGAGCCCGTGACTTCATTCTTCTCAAGCCCATGATGGGCAGGCCCAATGCTGGCTTCATTTGGGCCACGCTAGTGTGCTTGAAGCCCGTGGGCCGCTATTCTCAAATTTAAATGATATATGAAAAAAGGAATAATATTGGGGGCATTATTGTCATTAGATCTCAAGGAATGCCCTCAAAAACCCGAGTATAATTCACTTCGTTTTAGCTCTTCATATTAGGGTTTGGTTCCACTCCATCTTCACCGAACAGCGGCTGCAACTTCAGCAAACCCTAAACCGAAATGGTCTTTTTCTCTCTTTGTAGTTCTAGATTTGTTTTATAATTTCACTTAGTTCAATTGAATTGATTTATGCTATTTTTTTTTTAGCTTTAATGATTGAATTGAAAATGGCAAAGCAGGCTTCAGAGAAGAAATTGCAGAACCCAATGAGGGAAATTAAAGTGCAGAAGCTGGTTCTCAACATCTCTGTTGGTGAAAGTGGAGATCGTCTCACCAGAGCTGCCAAGGTTATATATATATTTGTTTTCACTATTTATTTGTTTTGATTCTTTTGTTTGGAGCTTAACGGGATTTGTTATTCCAGGTGCTAGAACAACTCAGTGGCCAAACTCCCGTTTTCTCGAAAGGTAATTGGTTTATTTGTGTTTTATTGATCGTATGGTCATAAAAAATTGTCGGAAAATATGGATGGGTTGTAGAAGCTATAAAAGTATGGATCTTAGATCTCTATGCATTTGATGTGTAATAAAGTTAATGGTTATTTCAACATAAACTGAGCATAGTGAAACTATATGATGGGCTGCTTGAGTTGGGCTTTTTAGTAATTTGCATAAGTTTGGGATTTTGTCATTGCTATTTCCTGATACTACATTATAATTCATGAATGAAAATTTCCAAAATTGTAATGACAATAATCTGTATAAAATTTGAGAAAGTCAACTGTTTGCTTTTTAAGTATCTTAACTGGGATGCGAATGTTTGAGTTTTGGCTTGCATTTTTTTAGCTGGTTTCATAAGAGATAGGCAGGTTGCAGTAAATCTTAGGTAGGTCATTTCAAAAGGTTTACATGCATCTTCCAGTTCGTTTTCAAATGAAAGTTCAGGTATTTTTTAGTGTTATAAATGCCAATTATTAGGAACTGTAGTTTGAAGTTTATGTGCTCCGGCTTTTTGGTCTTGGAGAGTGGCAAATGCTCCTAGTTTAATATGTTGCACAAGTGAAAAGAAAATGAATGTGGCTAAACCAATAAATTGAGTGCAGAGCTTGCAGTAAATTAATGTGGCTATTTTATTTTACTTTGCTCTAATGTACTCAGTAGCTATAATGATTTTATTCCTTTTTGTGGGAATAGCAAGGTACACTGTCCGTTCCTTTGGAATCAGAAGGAATGAAAAGATCGCTTGCTATGTCACAGTAAGGGGTGACAAGGCAATGCAGCTTTTGGAGAGTGGATTAAAAGTGAAGGAATATGAGCTGCTGCGAAGGAACTTCAGTGAAACCGGCTGTTTTGGATTTGGTATCCAGGAGCACATTGATCTTGGAATCAAGTAAGCTTATCTTTTCATAGAATTTTTTACATGCTGTCTATGTTAGCCCTGAGTGTGTCATTTTGCTAATTAGGCTTCAATTTTTTTTGGTTTTGGTATTTAGTTGGCTTAAGTTTGTTTAGTTTAATAGAACTGCTTATTGGCTCTTTGGTTGATTTTTTCACATAAATTCGTGCTTCATTAGTTATCAAGAATAGGTGCTCAGTGCATGTTGTTTGAGAATAGATGAATAGTGTGTTTGGTGTTTACTTATTGTGATGGTAGGACTGGAATATTTAATCACCTGTACATCGTCTTTTGGTTCTGTGCATTTGTTTTATTTGTTTCCAAATTCTTTTTATAGAGTTCATTGTAAATCCTCCTTTTTGCGGACTGCAAAAAACTAGGAGGTATTGATGGGGGCGAGTTAGTAAAATAAGCTCATAATTGTTGATGTTCTGTTTTGTATATGTGATGTGTCAATTCAAAGGTTGATATACATTCATTCCATTGATGGTCTGGCATAGTGTTAAGGTTAATTGTTTTATAAATAACTGTAGGGTTTTCTGGAATACATGATGTGATTGGTTTTTCCAACATAGCTGTTGATGATATACCTGTGTTTTTGAGTTGCATTGGTTCTTTCCTTACTAAATTTTGTTTGCTTGTTTAATTGTCATTAAAATTGGTTTCACTGGTGACTTTTTATTGCCCTCCCTGCCCTGCATCTGATGCATTCTCGGTTTGTATTACATCTAATATTATTATGTTTTTACCATCTCTTTCAAATTTCAGGTATGACCCTTCAACTGGTATTTATGGGATGGACTTCTATGTTGTTCTTGAGCGCCCGGGTTACCGTGTAGGCCGTCGCCGTCGGTGCAAGTCTCGTGTTGGGATCCAGCACAGGGTTACAAAAGAGGATGCTATGAAATGGTTCCAGGTCAAATATGAAGGAGTGATCCTTAACAAGGCCCAGAATATATCTTAAGCAATCAACAGATCTTTAGAACCGAATGAGATTTTGCGTTCATAGATTGACATTTTGTAGACAATGGTTATTTCTTACATTTTTCGATCTGGTTAATGCATTTAATAGACCAAGATATATTTTGCTCTTTTCTCAATATTATCCTAGATTTATATGATTCAGATGCACTCTTAAGATTTTGTTACTTTGTTTGGACATTGATTTACCTTGCGAGTATGCAAATTTCATTCTCTTTCACTATTCTTAATGAGTAATGTTACAGTTATTGAAAGGATTGTATCGAATTCATGCACTGAATGATGTAGTGTAATCTTGACCATCGATTAATATTAATTCATAATTAATCAATGGTTAAGATTGTGTTACGTCATTCGGTGTATGAATTCGGTGCACTTCTTTTCATATTGTATTATTTTCCGTTCTTAATTGGCGCAACTCTAATTTATTTATTCCTATATGTTTGACAATGACATTATGGGTTTAATGGTATGCTGCTGAGGAATTTGAGCAGGTATTATGTTGTGTGAGGCCGATTGGCATGCTTAAAAAAATTAAAGTGTTTAGATGATGGATTAAGGCACCTTATACATAATGAGTCACTTTTAATGTCGAATCCCCTCTGCAGAATTCCTGATTTGAACGTTCCAGATCCTCTGGGTTCGAGGTAAATCTGAGTTTGAGGAGCAGCGCATCAAAGCTGGTAGTGTAAATTTATTACGTGGAGTCAATTCATTTGAATATTTCCCATGTATTTTCAGCTTATAGTATCCAAATTTGCGGTGACACAGCCAGCCAAATTAACCCACTCTTGATATAATTTACAAGGTGTCCGTGCCCGAGTCCCTGATTTTGAAGTAGAGATGTTTGCATAATATGAATATGAAAACCCAAACTATCCCTTCGTTTTTGTTCACAATTATTTTATAATGATCAGTCCGTTGGCATCTACACTTTGATTCTTAAATAAGCATCTACTTGAACGTAAAAGTATATATCAGCTGACACAATTTATGACACTCGGAAAGACTGAAATAGTTAAAAATTTCATCGTAGCCATCTCAATTACTCGAAAACCTGGCTTGCCTCAAGGATACATATTATGAATAAATTCAAAATGTTTTTCACAAGCAGTGACATTTATCATCTACGTTTCATAAATACATGATATTTAGTGAGAAGCAAGTAAGCAAGCAAAAGTAGATAATGTTAGGTCTTTCAGCTAGGATCAAAGAATTAGAAATAGAACTGAGTTATGTTGGAGATAACATTCATTAATCTTTCTGAAACGACAGCCTCGAACTCCATCAGTTGGAGACGCCCAACTTAATCAAATTCTAAATTTAAGATCAGATTCTCTTTCACTTGTTCTATCCAGACAACAATAGTAGAATTTTAATTTCATAACAAAGGTAAAGTAGAGATTCAATGAGTATTTTGGGCAATTCTGGTTCTATATTCCGGTTTACCTTCAGCTATAAAAAAGATGGAAGAAGAACAAATTAAATTAAATACAACCATAGCATTCTTCAAGAAGATCATGCTTTTTTTGCTTTCAAAGGAGCATAAGTATCAAGAATTTCTTAAAAGGCATCAATATTTTACAGCAAAAGATAGAAACCAGGGGCTGACAAAAACATAGGTACCAATGTATCACGAATACATACTGTTTAGTTCAAAACAACAAAAACCATAGCGGCAAACCATGCAATTCAATAAAATCGGCAGTTTGGTGCACTGAATATCACCAAGAGAAAATCCGAAGATTGATCTATTATTCACGAGTTTACCTTCCATACCCTAAATCAACCAACCGCCCTCCCAAACAAACCTTTCCATTTACATCCCTGTCTTCAAACAAAGAGTTAAAACAGCAAAAGGCAAAGCCTAAAAAAAAGAAAACCAGATGAACAGCCATGTATATTTTAGAGTGAATAGAAATTATCAATAGGCTTCTGCGGACAATTTTTTGGGAAAAACTTCATGCGAAGCATTTTCCATTCTACTTCAGCCGATTCAGTCTTTCTCATGTCAAAATTACAAACAAAATAGGTACAAGCTACCACTCGGCGTGTGCCGAATACAAGTCTCAAATCATGAGAAAAAGAAATGTTAAAAACAGATATAAAGAGCTAGAAATTACTTCATGGAATCACGAGTTTCTTGCCAGCATAGATGGTGTCCCCTGAAAGTCCATTAGCCTCTTTGATAGCATCAATGGACACCTAAGCAATTTCACGCAACAAAACCAAAAAAACAAAAAAAAAAAAAAAAAAAACAAAAAACAAAAATCAGAGCGCATTTTGCACATACATTATTTCTATGAAAAAGCCGATAAATTATTCTGCAAACTGGAAGCAAATGAAAGGAAAAGATACCGCATATTTTCTAGAGAGACCCCAAAGCGTATCTCCCTTCACTATGTCAATTGTTCTGCATGATCTTGACTCGGGTTTACTTTGATCCGCACAACTACTAGGTTTCTACCACCAAAAGATAAATCTATAAATAAATAAAGCAAACAGTAAAAAATTCTAAAATATTTTTATAAAACCTACAAGAAAAGAACCAAAATTTATAAATAAATTTATCAGTGTAACATACCTTGGCGACGGGCAGTTGCGGTTGCGGTTGGGGAAGAGGTGGGCTGGGCTGAGTGGACTCGGCGAGTGGCTGACTGGTATCATTTTTATTTTTGTTGAGTGGGTTTAACGTTTTGAGGATGCTGATTGCAATGCCCGAGAAGACCACAAACCCCGCCGTTTTGGCGACGGCGGCTTCTCTACCGACTCCATTGCCGTCTTTGGAAGCACCGCGCGGGCTCGACATCGGGGTTTGGTTGAGTGATAAATCGAAGACGTTTGGTTAGATTAGGGATTAAATTTCGGACAGACGAGGTGATTGTTCAGACTCGAATCAAAATGTCTGTCTGTTTACATGAGCACGCGCGCGGTTTTCACGCGCGAGTGTGTCCCTTAAGCGGGAGGGAAAATGCCTTTTCTCAGGGAGGGAGTCTCCTGAATTTGAGAAGCCCATTAGGATTAGGCCCGCCATTATCAAAATTTAAAACCATATTATATTTATAATAATTTGATAATTGGATAGAATCAAAATACTGTAGGGGCTCTGGTCGCAGATTCTACAAAACAAAAGAGTGCAAGCAAGCAGTTGTTTGAAGCGTGAGGCAACAATTATCCACGAGGTGACACGTGCAACATCTATGCTAAACTCCCTCCCACTGGATTCTTCTTCATTTCGTCCAGATTTTAAGGATGGCGTATGGCTGTCATGTCGCCATGTCAGCATTCAACCATTTCATGCCAAAATTTCTTCCTCCTCAAAATTTTCAGATATTCTATTATAACCCCTATAAAATCTAACTCTCCCTTTGGACGTCATTATTTTCTTTTCTCTGATTTGCAGTTGGTTTTGCTTTTGCATGCATGCTTCAGCTATGGCTGCCCAGTTAATGACTCCTGTCTGCACTGATGCTCTCAAATTTCAAAACCCATTATTGCATAGTTTTAGCTCAAGAGGGTCTTGGTCCTCCTCAGCGAATGGTAGTACTAGTTGGAGCTTGATCGGTCGTTGTGGTGGCAGAAAGAGAAGAGGCTGTGGCAGAATTAAAGTTGCCATAGAGGGTTCAGCTTCCACGGATGCCATCGCTGATGACTATTACGCTGTTCTGGGTCTGGTAATTTTTGGATTTTTTTTCTGTTTGGTTATTGAGAAAATGTTATGTAGAAACTTTGTAATGTGTTAAACTATTTGGGGACAAGATTCATAACTTCAAGTGTTTGAATCTTCCTAAAAGTTTGAATTTTGTTGGAATCACTTTACATTAAAAAAATTTAATTCATTTAAGATTTTAGATTGTAGGATTATTCTGCATAAAATTCCATTATTGTACAGTGCTTGGCCCGATTCAATACATCTGATTGTTGACTGTTATGTGTTAATAGCTGCCAGATGCCACACCAGAGCAGATTAAGAAAGCTTATTATAATTGCATGAAAGCTTGCCATCCAGACTTGAGTGGCAACGATCCAGAGACAACAAATTTTTGCATGTTCATTAATGAGGTCTACACGGTGGGTTACCATTTGAAATGTAGTGGTTTTAGTTTGATTTAAGCCTTTCTTTTGCTTTTACTATAAATAGACTATTGCAGTACAGGTTCTCAGCGACCCTGTACAGCGCATGGTTTATGATGAAATTCATGGGTATGCATTGACGGCAATCAACCCTTTCTTGGATGATTCTAGCCCGAAGGATCTTGCATTCGTTGACGAGTTTAGCTGCATAGGTATGTGAACTTGCTTCTCTACATGTTATGTGATCAAGAAATGAAGATGACAGGTGGTTGGGAGTGCATGCGTTACAGAACATGTTGTTAGGTTCCTAGAAAATTTTTTATAAGAGTTACAGTAAGCTGGCATCTTTTCTTCACAGGCTGCAAAAATTGTGCCAATGTGGCCCCAGATGTGTTTGGAATTGAGGAAGACTTTGGAAGGGCCAGAGTTTATAGCCAGTGTGGGAACCCTGAATTAGTTCAACAAGCAATTGAGAGTTGGTAAATTCCTGCTTTGTGGATATTTGCAACACTATAAGATGCTTTAGTTTCGTGATTTTTATCTATTTTTAGCATAGCTATGAGGAAAACATCGGTAATCCATCATTCATTCATCTTTTTCTATCCAGCTTGATGCCAATATATATGTAGATTGTTGTGAATTCATTTCATTGCTGATTGTCTCCTATTAGCTTCACATCCTTCTGTTGTAGTGTGAATTGAGTTCTTTCAGAATGATGTCATACACACACACTCACCCACACATTATATAAGTAAACTCTTATTTTAGCATCTATTGCATTTTAGGAAGCTTCTAGATTAAATGAAATCAGAGAACTTAGTTAACAGATGTTCTGTGTTTCAGCCCAGTGGATTGCATTCACTGGACTTCAGCTGCTCAGCTATCTTTGCTCGAAGATGAAATGCGCAGGGTAGAAAGAGTAAATGTAAGATTTACTATTGACAATTTCTGCCTTGTTGATATACTATGCAAAATTTTTCTGATACTTCATTTCAGATTTAGATGGTAAATGATGTGTATTTGTGGGGCAGTTATACTTCACCAGTAGCTGTCTGACCTTAGTGGATTTACATCTATTTTTAGTAGTATTTTGTGGTTTAAGAATCACTCAAGTTGTTGGTTCATGTCTCCTAAATCTATGATGTGGGTCCTCTGTAATCTTTTGTGTCCTTGATCATATTCTTCAACCTCTGGAATATCTTCTTCAATTTACTTTCTAAAGCAAAGGAGAAAAGACATTGATGTTTTTCCTATTAAAAAAAAAAAAAAAAAGAGAGAGAGATTAATTCTTCAATAACGCTTGTGTGACTTTTAAATGATGATCAGGTGGCCCTGATGCTTTCAGGAATGGGATCTGGATCAATGGATGTTTTTAGGATGGTAAGTCTGTTACCTTTTCTTCATCATTTTTAAATCTTAATAATGTTATCAGTTCCTCCACTTGGTTGGATTTTCAGCTCTCACGTCAGTGCTCTTATGGTTTTGCAAAAGAGAAATAATTTTTCTCCATTTTGTAATCAAAAAATCTGTGTTTGGAAATAGGGTTCTAATATTGCTATAGTGTTCAGAGTTTTGGATATTAATACTATTGCCTGATTATTTATGTGTGTATTTAATAGAGATACAGTATTCTAGCCTTTTTTTTTTTTTTTTTTTCCTGCATTATTTTTGATGCTGTAGCAATTTTAAATAGTCTTTTGCCCTGGCAGGCAAGTTCTCGATGGGAGAAGAGGCAAGCAAAAGTGTTGGTATGAAATCTACATCTTAAGTCAATTTAATCTTTGGTTTCAACAATTTTCTTCATTTGTGTATGAAACATTTCGTAACTCATAGTCTATTGAGCCATATGGATTATGAGAATTTTGATACTGTGGATTGGTTTGAGCTGCTGAAAGCAAACTATTTTGAAGCAAGGAGTTTCTCAGTTTTCCTATAATCTTCTAAATGCTTTGATTCGAAGAGATGTCTTTTATTACTGCTCTTCCTGGCAGAAACATTCAAGTTGGTTTTGGGCAATTACATTCTAAAATACTCTGACTATTTTGATGATGATTCCTAACTATTTGCAGGAGCAAGCTAAAATAAGGATGATGAAGGAGAAAGGTTCTGCGAAAACTGAAGCATACTGGAGCAATCTATGGGGCAACCCAAAAGAGTATCAAAATTCAGGTGAGAGGACTTTCATTAAGGGATTACTAATATCTTCTCTTCTTGAGTAGGTCTTTCCTTAATATTTTGAATTTTACTGCTTCTAGGTTATATTTTTGTATTTTTTATGCATTTAAGTATCTGATTATAGAAGCACAAGTGCACAACTGGACTTACAGCAGCTTTACTCTCTAAAACAATGCAAGAAAAAGATGTGGGTTTCTAATGAGAATAGGCATTGTGATTTATGATTTAATGTGATAGTTATAAAGGTCATTAAACAAATTTTCATGTCTGCTGTACATTTTTATTATTTCTTGTGTGGCCTCTGTTGTAATCTGTGTTTGGCTAGCTCTGCTTCTACCAAATATTAATGAAGCTTCATATGTGTTGTTGCAGAAGAGGAAGCCAAAGAGAGAGCAAGGAGGGCAGCGGAGGCCGCAAGGAGATGGAGGGAGTACTCAAGGAGAGGTGTTGACAAACCTCCCACCTTTAAACTTCCAGAGGCAACCTCCGGCAAGGAGAACTGAACTGGTAAATTCTGATATACCATCATATTCTTACAATTAAAATGTAACCAATTTAGTTATAGGTCTTATTTTATGACTCCAGAGTCTTGTTCCTCATTCATTCATGTGGAACCCATATCAATAGTTTAACGGTGTAAATAAGATTGTCTATATAGAATTAAATTCAGAAATAATATATATATATATAGAATGAAATGCTACCTCTTTTTGTCTTTTTGGTGGATAAGCCTCATGGTTGTGAGTTGCTACCAAGTATGACTATATAGCTTTTTCAGAATCTTTCATCACAAGAAAACCTGTGTTGATTTGCTGATCATTTGACATTATTGTTGGCATATGACTATCATATACCCTTTTTTCTGTAATATTATTTTCCTTTCCACAGCTAACTATTTAGCTGTTTTCATTTAGTATTTGGAGCACATATGAACAGAATTGGAAAACGTAGCAGAACCACTTAACGAACTTTGAAAGAAATGTTAGAAAAATCCTTTGAATGTGACTGTAAGAGCCGCCTCTTCTGTTGGTAATTTCTTTTTGCCCTCTTCCTGTGAGTGTGACCTCTCTAGCAGTCATATTTGCAGTATACAAACATATCGACTCATTTCCAGCTTTTCCCTGTACATAATATATATGTGTTATTAAAAACAATTATGGTTAGACATTCATGCCTTATGGCAAAGTTATGTTCTTATACCAATTCGTGATCAATTAACCGCAAATCACACAAAAACTAACATATCAACACACACAAGAACAACTAGATTTACCGTGATTCACCTTTCCAAAACTAGAAAGACTACATCCACGTTGAGCTCCAAGAATTTTTGGGCTCACTGCACTAGGAATAAAGTGTTCTTTATAACTTATAACGATTCTCAAAGACACACACAACTCTCAATCTTGAACAAACCCCCCAAACCGTTAATCTATAGAGAAACCTGGACCAGTTTCTCTAATCTTGAAGGAATACTACCCTCACAATACAATTCCAGATTGTAAAACCGATTACACAGATTTGAGATAAGATTGAAGAACCCTAACCAAAGCACCAAGAATCCTAATTCGTACACACGAGAGAGAGAGCTCCAAGAATCTACAAAGAAGCTTGTTTATATAGGGTTGACTTGCTGGATAAATTCTTGCCATTGGATGTTGATTGCTTCAATGGCTAGGATTGTCTCATATGAGTATAAAAAAGGGCAGCGTGTTGTTAAGTGTTGTATGTAGAAACGTCAGCGTTTTGGGCTTTGCACATTTAACAATTCTCCACCTTGAAGCTCAAAACCTTGCAACTCTACATTTCCTAAGTGCAGCAGACCATCCAAAATTCCTTTCACAGCTCAATTGCCACCCATTATTTCATAAACAGCAGGTTCAAGCAATGATTGAACTTGGCAACAACTACAATCTTGGTACCCATATCAGCAGGATTGTCTTCAATTGAGACTTTCTTCAAGATAATCAGTCATTGGGCAATTAGATCTCTGACAAAATGAAATATTACATCCATATGTTTGGTCCTATCATGATAGACAGGATTCTTGCTTAGGTGAATGGCGCTTTGGCTGTCTGAATAAATGGTGGCTACTCCATCAATCAAATCTACTTCGGACAAAATTCCTTGAAGCCATAGTGCTTCCTTGAACACATTAGCAATGGCCACATACTCTGCCTCAGTTGAGGAGAGTGTCACAATAGGCTGAAGCTGGGATTTCCAGCTCACACAATTCCCTCTTAACGTGAAGAAATAAGAGGTGGTTGACTTCCTTGTGTCTTTATCACCTGCAAAGTCAGAGTCTACAAAGCTCATAAGATCAAGTGAATTATATCTTTTACAGTATTCCAAACCAACATGTGAAGTACCATTAATATACCTTAGGACCCATTTAAGAGCAAACCAGTGTTTTGACCCAGGATTGGACATAAAACAACTCAGCAAAGACATGGCAAAGGAGAGGTCAGTCCTGGTGCTAATCATGGCATACATGACTGACCTTATTACATTGTCATAAGAGACCTTTTCCATCTTTATTAACTCAACATCTATTTTAGGACATTAGTGTTTACTAAGTGTAAAATGACTAGCTAAAGGCATGGACACAACCTTAGAGTCAGCCATGTTAAACTTAGAAACTAGTTTTTGCAAGTATGAACTTTGAGTTAATCTTAAATTCATGGCATTTTCTATTTCTATGTATTACCATTCCTAATATCTTTTTAGCACATTTTAAGTCTTTCATGTCAAACTTAGCCTTAAGTTTACCTTTTAAGTCATCTATTCTAGACTTAGATTTGCTAATCAGAAGCATGTCATTCACATATGAGAATAAATACAAAGGTATATCATTATCCAAAGCAAAATAAAAGCAACTATCATATTTGCTCATGTTAAACCCAATGCTTAAAATGAATACGTCAAACCTTTTGTACCACTGCCTAGGGGACCGTTTCAGTCCATACAAAGACTTATGTAGCAAACACACATGATTGGGAAGTTTTTTATCAACAAATCCAGTAGGTTGCCTCATATATATCTTCTCTTCTAAATTACCATGTAGAAAGACAGTCCTAACATCTAGTTGCTCTAGTTCTAGGTCATAATGTACAACTGCAGACAACATAAGCCAAATTATTTTATACTTAACTACTGGTGAGAAAATTTCATTAAAGTCTATGCCTTCCCTTTATCTGTAACCTTTAGCTACAAGTTTAGTCTTATACCTACGAGGGTCAGAAAGATTTATACCTTCGTTTACCTTGAATAACCATCGACATTCAACCAGTTTCTGATCTTTTGGAGTTGGGACCAAGGACCAGGTTTTGTTGACTTTCAGTGACTGCATTTCTTCTTCCATTGCAACCTACCACTTGTCTTTGTCCTTTGACCTGATTGCTTCATCATAGCTATCAGGTTCAGTTCTAAATACTTTAGCTCAGGCCACCAATGCAGTATAGATCAGATTAGCATACGAATATCTTGTTGGAGGTCTAATCTCTCTGCGGGTCCTATCTCTGGTTAGTTGATATTGTGCCAAAGACTCTTCTTGAGTTGGTTCAAGGTTCTCAGTTGGTTCACCCTCATGGTCATGATCCAAGGCTGCCACTTCAATTTCTTCATCTGTATCTCCTTCATAATTTTGTGCACTTGAGGGCTCCACCTCAATTTGTATCCTTGCACTTAGTTTTTGACTCAGAGTCAATGCTAGAAGTACATGCATCACGGTTTGTAATTTTGTAAGGAAATATATTTTCATTAAAAATAGCATCCCTGCTAATGATTATTTTAACCCTTGGTGCATTCCTCTCCTATAACCTATACCCTTTAATCCCTTCCTGATATCCAAGAAATACATACTTGAGTGACCTAGGTTCAAGCTTCCCTTCATTTGTGTGTGCATAGGCTGCACACCCAAAGACCCTAAGGTGGCTTAAATTTGGCTTTCTTTTAGACCATCTCTCCTCGAGACAAGTGAAACCTATTTCACTAGAGGGACTCCGGTTGACTAAATAGGCTGCTGTGTTGAGGGCTTCACCCCAAAAGGTCTTCGATAATCCTGATGTGAACAGTAAACATCTCATCTTCTCCAACAGAGTCCTATTCATTCTCTCAACCACTCCATTTTACTGAGGAGTACCCCTTACTGTTCTATGTCTCAATATGCCATGATCACTACAATATCTGTCAAACTCTGAATTGCAGAACTCTAGCCCATTATCAGTCCTAAGGGCTTTAACTTTTCTGTCCACCTGATTCTCTACAAAAGTTTGCCAACTCTTAAATCTATCTAAGGCCTCATCTTTAGTCCTAAGTAAGAATACCTAGACTTTCTTGTTGTAGTCATCGACTATAGACAAAAAATAACTACTGCTCCCATGAGATTTTACCCTTTTAGGCCCCCAAAGATCAGTATGTAAGTATTCTAGGCAATTAGTGGCTTGGTGTGTCCCCTTATGAAAGCTCAGCCTATGCTGCTTTCCCATTATACAAGTTTCGCAAAAATTCATATAACTAATGACATCCCTGCCAAACAGAACCTGTTTACTTAGAGTATCTAGGCCTTTTTAGCTCATATGGCTTAACCTTAAGTGTAATATCTCAGTAATAGACAAATTAGTAGTAAGCAATACAATATTCAAACAATCAGAACAACGATTCCCACACAAGATATACAGCCCATTCCTTTTTACCCCACTGAGAATTATGTTGTTGCCTTTATAGACATTTAAGCACCCATTTTCAGTCTACCCGAACTCATTTAGGGTTTCTAGTGAGATCAGATTTCTCTTAAGTTCTGGAATGTATCTAACCTTAGTCAGTTTGACTAATTTTCCATTATCTAACCTCAAAGTTATACTACTTATAGACATTTAAGCACCCATTTTCAACCTTATAACAACACTCGGACTCATCTAGGGTTCCTAGTGAGATAAGATTTCTCATAAGTTCTGAAATGTATCTAACCTTAGTCAGTTTGACTAATTTTTCATTATCCAACCTCAAAGTTATACTAACAACCCCCTAAACTCTACAGGCATTATTGTTACCCATGGACACTGTTTCAAGGTCACTAGACTCAAAATCTTGGATCCAATTCTTATTCGAACTCATATGGAATGAGCAACTAGAATCCAACACCCATTCCCCTATAATGTCAGACTTAGACACTGTCAGGACCTTTGATTCTTCAATACTGTGTTTGGTGGTGGCTAGATTACTCTCAGTGTTAGCATTCTTGTGTTTTTTAATCCACTCAAAACAATTCTTCTTTAGATGTTCAGTTTTATTACAGTTGAAACATTTTCGGGTTTCTCCTTTAGACTTATGTGTGTTTTTACCATTTTTTTTTTGGTTCATAGGGCCACTAACATGATAAGAGTTACTACCCACATGACCTGTTTCTCTCTTACCCTTAACAAACAGACTATTATTGCTCTTTTTTTGAACCCTGAGTTCTAACTCCCTAGCTTTTAACCTAGCAACTATCAATTCTACACTAGGTACAGTACCCGTGTACTGTAGAGCATTCTTTACCACCTGATACTCCTTAGTCAATGAATTTAAAAGAATCATGGCAAGGCTGGAGTCATTGAGTTCTTGATCAGTGCCCTTAAGAACCAGTGTCATTTTCAAGAACTCATCAAGGTTCTCCTCAATAGTCCTATTACTATCCATTTTATAAGAAAAAAGAGCACCCTTTAAATATGCAAGATTGGGCGCTGATTGTAAAGAGTAAAGAGATTCAAGCTTACCCCAGAGGCTGATTGGGGTTTCAAACCCATCAACCTTACGTAGCACATTGTCGGAGAGATTCATAATGATCAAATTATAGGCCTCCTCATCCACTTAGACCTTCTTCTTCAGCTTCTTCTCTGGCTATTTGGTGAGGTCCTTCTCTAGTGTGATAGCCACTTTGTTGTGGGACAACAAAGCCTTCATCTTCTTTTTCCAACTAGCAAAATTTTCCATCATATTGGGTGATCTCAACCTTAGTTGTACTCATGATTGGATTGAGGTGATTGTGTTTGGTGATTACTAGACGAAACCCTAGAAATCAAGATCGATTTCTGATTTTTTTCCCGAATTGACAACACGAATTGAGGGAATTTCTAACCTTACTCCATCAAGACTATTAATCAAGAAATCCCCAATTTTGACAAAACCCTAGATTTCGAAATCAAGAAACCTTAAGGATTGACAACCCTCACTGTGCTCTAATACCACTATTATACCAATTTGTGATCAATCAACCGCAAATCACACACAAACTAACATATCAACATACACACAAGATCAAGAACACAAGAACAACCAGATTTACCATAGTTCACATTTCCAAAACTGGAAAGACTACGTCCATGTTGAGCTCCAAGAATTTTTGGGCTCACTGCTCTAGGAATAAAGAGTTCTTTACAACTTACAACGATTCTCAAAGACATGCACAACTCTCAATCTTGAACAAACCCCCCAAACCGTTAATCTATAGAGAAACCTGGACCAACCTCTCTAATCCTGAAGGAAATACTACCCTCACAGTACAATTCCAGATTGTAACACCAATTACATAGATTTGAGACAAGATTGAAGAACCCTAACCAAAGCACTAAGAATCCTAATTCGCACAAATGAGAGAGAGCTCCAAGAATCTGCAAAGAAGCTTGCTTATATAGGGTTGACTTGCTAGATAAATTCTGGTTCAACGGCTAGGATTGTCTCATATGAGTATAAAAAACGGTAGCGTGTTGTTAAGTGTTGTATATAGAACATGGTTATTAGTATCCTACGATACCTGTTATGTATCATACGATACGATTCGATATAGGTCGCCAACGATATGTATCAAAGATTGTATCATAAACCTTTCGATACGTTGATATGTATCCTACGATATGATATGTATCCGTTTGTATCCTTAAAAATATCGATACAAATCTATATGACTTTATTAATTTGGGCCAAATGCCCAAAAAAAATTCGGGTCAGAACTAGGTCACCCAATCCGGTTCACTAAAACTTGCTCAAATTTACCCATTTTGCGTGGAGAAAGTAAAGAGGAACATGTGTTGCCCATTTTGCATGATAATAATAATACAAGTAGAGATATAGATATTGATATTGATCTTAGAAATGATATGAATGGTTGAGAGAAAATAATATAGATTCTTAATTTTGATTATGTAATACCATAATTTAAAGCCAATAATACCACAAAATTCTTTAATTAATTTGGGGATGATATTAATTTTTAGAAAATTTTGATTATTTATTTACTATTTTATTAATTTTTTTTAAAAAAAAATCATATCTTACAATACAATACAATACGATACGCGATACATGATTCAAAAAATTAAGTTTTTGATATACGATACGATATGCGATTTGACAATTATGTGCAGAAATGTCAACGTTTTGGGCTTCACACATTTAACGTTGATATGTATCCTACGATATGATACGTATTCGTTCGTATCCTTAAAAATATCGATATAAATCGATACGACTTTATTAATTTGGCTAAAGGCCCAAAAAAAATTCAAGTCAGAACTGGGTCACCCAACCCGAACTAAAACCTGCTCAAATTTACCCATTTTGCATGAAGAAAGTGAAGAGGAACATGTGTTGCCCATTTTGTATGATAATAATAATACAAGTGGAGATATAGATATTGACATTGATCTTAAAAATGATATAAATAGTTGAGAGAAAATAATATAAACCCTTAATTTTGATTATGTAATATCATAATTCAAAGCCAATAATACCATAAAATTCTTTAATTAATTTTGGAGATGATATTAATTTTTAGAAAATTTTGATTATTTATTTATTATTTTATTAATTTTTTGAAAAAAAAAACATATCCTACGATGCGATACGCGATACATGAAAAATTAAGTCTTTGATACACGATACGATACACGATTTGATAACTATGTGCAGAAACATCAGCGTTTTGGGCTTCACACATTTAACATTTGTCATACCACACCTAGGTCAGGATAAGCAACATGAATGCCATTCCTTCTCTGCCATACCCAACCTTTGCCAGCATATCTTGGTTCATTCACACAGGCCAGCCGTGACGCCACCACTATGGTCAACATCTGATTTTCAACACTGTTATAACACTCTTCTTTTTTTTTCTCTCTTAGTTGGTAAATAAACTTGAATGATTTTAGTCCCATGATAGTTGGCTTGGATGATCATGAAATTTAAATTAACAAGTCTTTTCATATAACTGAGTATATTTTTTGTCTTCTGACAAATGAAAAACTACAACGTGACGGAGTAGTTTGAATTTAACAGAAATTTATTAAATGTCTTATTAGATTATGTCTTTGTATATACTGTATTTAGAGCCTTAATACATCACTAAAACTTAATTAAACTAAGAAAATAATGAGCCGAAGGGCCACTGCTTACAGTAGAATGGATTATCAAATATCAATAGTTTAAACTTAAAATATTATAATTGCAAGTGTTTTAAAATTAATAATAAGTGGGCGTGAATAAGACATCGGGGTGATCTCCTTTGTCAATGGGTGTTTTGCAAAAGTGGTTCTCTTGCAGCTCTTAAATATTCTGTATTGTCAGCAAAGAAGTGCCTATCTCGTTGGAGTTCCACTTTCATTATTGGCAAACCAATACTCAAGTATTTAAATCAAATTATAATTGCTTCTTTTGTTATATATTTTTCTATTTCTTAACTGGGGGTAATAAATTAAAAGGTGCCACTAATATAATGAGCCTGCTAATATTGTTGACCTATTCAATAATGGAACTTGGCAATGCAGTAATACGTTGTTTATATTATCATATGAATGTTAATATGATTACCGTATTGGCATAATCAACCCAAATCGTCTTTTACAGAATCTTTCAAGAGGAAGAAGAAGAGAAACTGTTGCCAAAATTTGGTGAAATCATCATAGCCTGACTCAGATAAATGTTTCATTATTTACTTTAACAAATGTTGCAGTGCAGAGAAAGCCACAAAATTGACCTAACAAAAACATCACAAGTCACAAAAGCAACCCTGAATTACCATTTAAAAAAAAGAAACAAAATTTGTACTCGTTATCTTACTGTTGATGCAACAGTATGAGCCCAAAACTTGAGATGATCTTTCATGTTGACTTCACTTCTAAGAGATGGAATTCTCCAATTCATCAATGGATTCTCTATCTTTCTTTGATGCCCCAAAACATCCCATGCTTCGGATAAATAAGGCCTGGACACAATAGTTTTGTCACTCCATTCTTCTTGATGAGTATTTACATTTTCTCCATTGCTTTTTCTCAATCTTTGCAGCCCAGGAAGTATAGAGACCAAACTCGAATCTTTATCTTCCTCAGAGAACACAAAACCCAGATCCATAAACCCTTTTAGCTCCTTAAACTCAAGGTCTGATAAGCTCTTACTGTTTTCCTTTTTTCTCCTTTTTCTTTTTTCACTCAATACTTGTGGCCTCACAACTGTTTCTAGATTCCCTACCTCCACAACCTCCTCTTCCTGTTTAACATCTTCACTCGAAAAGTTCAAAACTTCTTTCCCAGATAGAATAGTTTCGAGCTTCGTTGTTCTAAGTAAGGAGTCCGGAGAGTAAGAATCAGGGGACAAACTCGTTTTGGAGCTCAAAGCCTGGTCACTGAGAGATCTGATATGGAGAGTTGGTAAGCGTGAAACAACCGGTTCTTGAGGTTGTTTCTGAATTTCAAGAACTGGGTTTGTTTGGTGGAGAGACGAAAGTGGCTTCTTGGAGAAGATTCCATGTTCAAACCAGTAAGAATCCAAGAGCTCAAAAATTTCCTCTGCAGCCATTGCTGTGAAAAAAAGTTCAGTCTGCTGACTGGAGCCTGAGAGGTGTAAAGTTACCAAATTTAAAATTATATACATAGTAGTTACTTGACAATAATGCCCCTGGTTTCAAGCCAATATTGCGGAATTGATGTAAACTATTACCACATGTGATACGTTTCATGGTTGTCTTAGACATGCTAGAAACGAGAAAGTAGTTGATAAGGAATCATCATTGTCAACAAACAAATTCGCCTATTTAATGCATGCATATTTATCTATTTTTTAACATATATATTTTTTTAAGGGAGGTACTTAAGCTGAATTTGCATGTATCCCAATTTTTGCATATGTACCTCAATTAATTTATAAAGTTTATTAAACACTTTATAAACTCAAAAGATTATAAGTCACAAAGGAATAGGTAATCCCAAGATTTGAACCTACGTCTCAACGAAAAGAGCAAATTTCTTTAACCATCAAACTAATTCTTTATGGTTAATTTTTTTTTTCCTTTTTATGATATCCCAAATAAAACATTATACTTATCATAATAAATGTCACAAATATAAACTCTATCAATATTAAAGAAAAAAATAGATTTTTGTGTATTTTCTATGTATTTCGTATGATATTATTTCACATAAAAAATAATAAAATTCAATTTTGCATTAATGGCTAGTTCACCTTTTTCCTTTTTCATACCCAATTATGGAGTCTGACAAACTTGCCTTTTTTATTGTTGGGTAATCTGGAAAGAAAAAAGGAAATTGTCCCGACAAAGTAAAAATATGTAAGGTAGGAGGGTATTTTAGGTAAAAACAGAATTGTAATAGCGCCTAATGTTCCGATACTCATAATTTGGAGGGGGCTTGCCACAAACACAATGCTTAAAGTTGACGAATCATTATGATATTTGGCTTTTTTCTTCGACAGTTGGACCGCCCTCATCATTATTTAATTTTATTAATTAATGACATCAATTTAATTAATTGCACAAACTATGTATTACATTTTGGCCGGCACAAATTGTCTTTCTACCTTGTCATTTTGGAAGACATTTTTATCTACATATTTTTCAAAAAAAATAAGGCAACCAAATTCTAGCAATAATTTTCTGACAATAATTACTTTCATTATTGGATATTGAATATTAAATAACCTAGATTTAGGAAAATAAAAATGTTAGAACTTATCCTGAATAAGGAGTCACATAAGGTCCGTCTGGTCAACATCAAATCATGATGTATATGGAGCACCAAATCCGCAGTTCAGGCATTTTTTTTTTTTTTTGCCTTTTTTCTTTTTATATTGATATTAATATTAAGTTTGCAAGTTGAAGGCCATGCACAGCACCTGATGGATAACTACCCAAATATGTCATTCACTATTCACTAATAATGGCACGAGTGAACGACATGTTCCGAACCCAAGTTTAACGGAATAGTATCTTGATATCTTTATTTTATCAGTAATACTATACTTACCGATCCAAATATCGATTTGTTCATACCGACCCAACTACCCAATAACTCAAATCTCAAAATTTAACTCAATTAAGATAAATCAGTATGTCAAATCGATAACTGGTTCGGTAAGTCTAACATTACTGTTATTTTATTTGTTCAAGATTCTCGCACTTAATTGAATACCGCCAATGACTTTTAGGTTTTGACAAAGGTATAGAGGATATTATTATTAAACTCCTCTTGATAAATAAATAAATAAATTACTTTTTTTACCCCTAAATTAATAGAATTAGAAAAATAATCATCCTATTCCAAATTTATTTCCAAAACACGTTTTTCTTCAACCTTCACATCATCTCCATCTCCAACCACTCACTCATTATCACTACCACCACAACCTAGCCACTGCTGCCACAGCGTCACTGTCGTCACCGTCACCCAACCAAATTAATAAAATTCTAGGAAAATCCACCCAGCACCCTCTTCAATCCAAACACACCCAATCCTCTGGATTTTCTTTCAATCCAAACAAACTGCAAAAAACATACTAACTTGCGCCTTTTATCGAGCAGGTGGTGAGCGCAACTTCGGGCTTCAATTTTCGACGAACGAGAAGTCGACAACGGCAAAAAAACATACCCACACAAAATAAAACACAAGGAGAGTATGTTGGTGTAGTCTGATGATGTTGGTTACTCTCCAATTGAACAAAAAACGACCAAGAAGATACCCAAAATCGCAAGGTGGCAAGTGTGGGAGTAGCCGGAAAAGTGAGTGATGACAGCAATTGGGGGTATGGGTTTTGTAGAGGAGGTTATGAGGAGTTCAACGGTGGTCTCGAAAGTTATTTTGGAGTTCGGGATCGACCGAAAAAGAGCCAAAAATGGGCAGTTTGGGCGATGCTCACATGAGCCGCTTCTTGCTAAGGTGAGCTCAACTTTAGCCAAAATGAGCACCACGTTAGCATGCAACGTGAGCCACACTATAGTGAAAAGTTAGGAGAAATGGGGAGGGAAAAGGAAAAAATAATAAAATTACCATTTTAACCTTCAACAGTTAAAATAAAGGAAATAATGTTATTTCAAGGTGAGAACTAAAATAAATGAAACCAAAGACATCAACTTGTTAGTTTGCTAAACATTGGGTGGGAACGTGTCTTTTGCTCATAATAGTACTGGCAAGGATTTCTTCACTTTCTGGGCTGCACATTCACAAATATCATCTTCTGCTTTTGTGGGAAAAAAGAAAATCCAGTAAATTTTCTAAAAATAAAATAGTTAAAATGTTTAATCTTTTAAGAATAATATTATCAGAAATGGCTTCGCTGCAATATATCTCTGTAACAGTATATTTCTGTAACGATACATCAACATAAACAACGTAAAATTACAAACTCATTAGAGGAAACCAATGAACTAAAACATAAACCTTGTTCAAGTACTCATACAACGCGGCAGTGTAGCTAGAGCAACTAAAGCAAACTTCATAATTTAATACCCTGAGTAAAATAGTTACAGTATAAAAGTTTCAGGTAGGAAATGTATTCCACCAAAATATTAGATTATTTTGAGACAATTTGGACCATGTTCTCAGGAAATTTTTCAAACCATGTACCAGACAAACTAGTTTTTCTTTCTACATGAAGATTACCTTGATCACGTACAAGGAAATTGCACAATGCTGTAAAATCTGGCAATGTAACAACAACATTGTCCCTAGTTCGAGCAGCATCCGATTCTCTTTAGAATGGAAGCTTCCTCTTTGACGTTTATCGTCTCTCCTTTTGATGGAAGTGTGGAAGCAGGTCCATCGCTGCCTGCCTCAACTGCCCTCTTGCTAACAACCTTGTATATCTGATTAATAACTTCTATAAAAGCATTTTCCACATTGGTTGCTTCTAATGCTGATGTTTCCATGAAATATACAGACTCCTTCTCAGCAAAAGCTTTACCATCCTCAATAGAGACGGCTACAAGGTGTCGAAGATCTGACTTGTTGCCGATCAGCATGACAACAATATTGGGGTCAGTGTGCTCTCTCAACTCCTTCAACCACCTCCCAACATTCCCAAAGGTGGAAACTTGTGTTACATCATATACAAGCAAAGCCCCAACAGCACCACGGTAATAAGCACTTGTAATGGCACGGTACCTATATGAACAAAGAAGCAAACTGAGAGGTTGGAAACTTGTGTATTATTTTTATTTAAAGACCCCAGCTCCTTTAATTAATGCTTGCATAGTACTAAAACAGCCAAGTGATTAAAGATATCACTGTGACAACCATTACCAATTAAAAATTAGGTCATGAAATGGAGCATTATGATGACATCTCTACGCACTGTAGATAATCATAATAAAAAATATTACAAAAACTATGCAAGAAAATAAGAGAAAACTATTATAGCAATTGTCAATATCAAACACCAAGTACAGGATGCCATGATATTAGAGAGCTAACCAAGATGGTTGTATGTGCAAGCCATGTGCTAAAAAATAATTACATAAGCAGGGCAAGAAACCAAGTCCTCATTGGTTCTTAAATTAATCATTGACAACACTTTCCACTTCAAGAGAGTATCCCAAGCTATCTATTGCCCAAGAGAAACAGCATCTGCACTTAATGGTGTTCATTAATTCATGCATTCTCATAGAAACCAATAACAATGATTATATGCATAAACTTATAATGTTATAAGAGGAAAGCTAAGAGTATTGCACATGTTTTCACAGAGTACATAATTAAAAGAAATAAACAAAAACAAGAGAAGAAGAGTCCTACAGAGTTTCACACTTCAGCAAGGTGAAGTTCAGACTGAAGAAATTCTGATTCTTTTTCTAAAGACATCTGCTTTATGGATAACAAGTAGAATTCTTTCCAATACTGCATTCCACAAAATCTTACAATCAGACACTTCATTGGGGAAAAAGCAACTAGACATTTCTTTTCTCATTTTTCTTAGGTTCTCTATATAACATTAACCTCGCAATGTTAACAAATTGTGACTCCATGTAAGACAGGCAAGACTATCTCTGGACACTTATTTTACTAGATTTCCAAACATGTCACAGACAACTCTAGAGTTGACAATGCATTAATGATCATTGACAGTAGCGTCCACCACTGATATCCACTCTGAAACTCCAACTTCACAGTAATTATGAAACACAACCAAACACTTTGCCCAACCAATGGAAAACAAGCATAGATATGCCAAATTGTCTTTCAATGATTCTTCCTATTTCAAAAGTTTACCAGCAACATACAAGGAAATGTTCCAGCCATCTGGATTGGGAAAAACCCCAACAACCCGGAGCAACTCATAGTAAAGAAAATTGAGGCTTTATGTCTCTGTGCAAAAGGGACATGTAGCGGCATGCATATATAGCTTAATCAGAATGAAATGCCACAGCCCATATCATCAATAATAAGAAATCCATGTAAACCAAAAATCTGCGGGTATATCAATGAGGTTGTCAAAATCATCACTTGACAACCAACAGTAGGCAACTATTTTGTGACTCACTGCCAGCTGCGAGCTCCATGTAAGACATTTCAACCATTTAAATCCATAGGAAAGTATGAGCATACAAATCAAATATTGATTTTTTAATAGCACAAACACAAGTTCCTTCAAACAGAAGAAAAACAAACAAGTGGAAATAACAGGATCCTTGAACCGAAATCCAAATCACTGCAAAAAGCAAACAACAGACAACTCCCAAAAAAAGGAAAAAAACAACTAAAAATCCAGAAACCCATAATATTCCAGATAACAGAACTAAATTTTTTCATCTCAATAACGAAAATATGAAGAAAAAGAAAATCAGCACAGGTCCTTGAATTCCAGGTTCCAAAGCATACGTATCGAAACGCATAACAAAAAATTTGCAGCTAAACAAAGAAAACTTCGCAAACCCATCAAGCTATAGACAACAATATCAAAACCCAATTCAAGTTGTAGACAAAAATATCAAAACCCAATTCATAAACAAAAACACCAAATTTCAGCAAAAAGCTTAAAACTTTAATGGAAAGAAACCATAAAAAGGTCACCTTTCTTGGCCAGCAGTGTCCCAAATCTGAGCCTTGACGACCTTACCATCGATATTCAAACTTTTGGTAGCAAACTCAACACCAATAGTAGACTTAGACTCGAGGTTAAACTCGTTTTTGGTAAACCTGGAAAGCAAGTTGGACTTACCCACACCTGAATCACCAATCAAAACCAGCTTGAACAAGTAATCATACTCATCATCAGGCCTGTACCCAGACATATTAATATTATACACAGAAGAGTTGTGAAGAGACAGGAGTTTTGTTGTTCTTGTTGTGTCAGTTATATAAAGAAAAGTGTTTGAGACTATAAACTAAAGCGGTGAAAGTGATATGGCTCGAAGTTTCATGTAAGAGTCTGAAAGTGAAACTTTTCCCAGCTTTTATTTCGTTTTGGAGTGAAAACTTTGCCTGGTTTTGACAAGAATCTAGGAACCCAACAGGTTTTGCCTAAACTTATGACACTGTTTAACTTCCTTGGTCCCAACCAACTCAAGCTAGAAAGCTACCAAATCTCTATTATTAGTTTCAAACTCCCCTTATTCCCCATCTGTTCTTTCTTTCTTCTTCTTTTTTTACACTATAATTAAAAATATATAATAATGTTATATTTCAAAATAATGAATTTAGTGCTACTGTTAATTCTTAGCATAGAGATTATCAAAATCCCTATGCTGAATGAATGATATGCCCGTACGAGAATGTATTGTGAAAACATGGACTTTTGGGTATTTTCCCCTATTTAAGAATATCAAAAAATTAATTCTAAATATACTATTATTTTCTTTTGAGAAAATAGAAATAACAATGTATTAGAATCATTGATAATCAGAGAAAATATTTAAAATTAAGCTTATTTGTTTAATTACTTTATACATATATGAAATCTTTCTGTTATGCGGGGTGCAGAAAGTTCCCTTTCTGTTATTCCTTAATTTATTTTTGTTCTGTGTTTCTTGCAACAAGCAGGGCCCTTGATTTATTTATGCACAATAAATGCAGAATCTGATTCCAACTGTTGTTAACTATATTTTTCCGAAGGAGGTACATAATTTTCCTCTTTTCTCTCAGTTTTTGCTTCTTTCCCCCAATCCGTTCTTTCTCATTGTTGCAGATTTTGACTAGTCATAAAAGGATGACTATGAAAGCAATCATATTGATTCTTCTTCCAATTAAGTTATAAGCAGATAGAAAAGAAATTGGAAGCATATCAGGCTTCTTAAAATAAACCAATGTGTTCTGGGCTTAGGCCCCTTTTTTCACCAAAAAAAAAAAAAAAAAAAAAAACCAATGTGTTCACTGTTCAAGGAGGTTACACCACACAATATCCAAGTAGTTTTGTACTGTACAATAAATCAGAGACTTAACGTATTTCTTCTACACTTAAAAGATGAATTTACCAGAAAAAAGTCATCTTGGATTAGGAAGTATAGATTCCACAGGTGGAAGTGGGGCAGAAACATGGATGGTGATTTACAGAAGGAGCATATGGCAATGGCAATACATGACCATGCTTGATGTTTTCATCTACCTTCAATAGTACTCCCTCAAAGATTCAAGAACTTTCATCACAGTTGACATGGATGGCCGGTGTGTTACTAGGATCATCCTGTAAACAACAGGCTCCAATTTTCATTATTCTTACCATTTCTTCTCTATGATTTTGCATTTCTCATCTTTATCTGAATTGTGCATAATGTCAGTCGCCCTTCCTCTTGTCTTATCCTGCACCAATTTTAAGTAAACGAAAGGTAGATATACTCGGACCGCCAACTATCCAAAGTTATCCGTACCTAACAACGCATTAAACAAACTATATTACGCTTTGGCCGGCACACAATTGCGTCTATGTTGCCTGTCAGTTCACAATCTTAAAAGAGATTTTATGCGATATAAAGTTTCATCAAACACTTTTTTAAAGAGTAAACGACATGTTCCCACCCAAAGGTTAGTGAAATGGCAGGTTTTCATCCTTGGTTTCATTTATTTCAAATTCCCACCTTTAAATTAATTCTGTTAATAAATTTTAATTTTGGTACAGCTGTAAAGGATACTATTACTATACTACCCTTCACTTTTGATTTCACCACCATCCAGGCCCCACCACCACCTTTCAACACCACGATCAAAACCCCAAAGTCACCACCACCACCATTATCGCTATCCCTCTAAACCCTAAAGTCACCTCGTCGCCACCACCAGACAACCACTCAAATTTAGCCACAAACCCACCCAAAAACCGTCACAAACTCAATTACAAACCTGCCTACAAACCCAACCAAAAACAACTACAAACACATTGGAACATTCCTTATGCTTTTTAATTTGCTTGCACTTGATCGTCAAAACCCCACTCTCATTTCATTTCATACAACCCAGATTATTAATTATACCACCTAATTGATTAAACAAAGAAAAATGAAAAAGTTAAGTGATGTGAAATTGCAACCGTAGGCAGGGGGTAACCATGATTGTGGTTTGTGGTGGATTTCTAGGGGACGACGGCGACAGCTTGCAGTGGGTTCTTACGAAGCGACAACGGTCTAGGGGAGCGAGGTATGCTAGCGATTTGGGATAGATGGGTGGTGGCCTCAACATGATGGTCTTACAGTGGCCAAATCAAGCTGCCTTGGAGCCCATTCCGAGAAGGGAGAAGAGGGAAGAAGAAAGAAAGTAGAAGGAAGAGAAGAAGAAAGAAAGGAGGAAAAGAGAAGAAGACGAAGAAGAAGAATGGGTAGAAGAAAAAGAAGAGGCGACAATGGTAGGAGGAAGAGGGAAGAAGAAGAGTGGGTTGGGACGGTTGTTGGGTTCAATGACCATTTTACTGTCATATTAAATAATTGTCTGTTAATTTAAGGGTGTGAATCTAGAATAAATGAAACCACAATGAAAACTTTTCATTTCACTAATCTTTGGGTGGGAACATGTCGTTTACTCTTTTTCTAAATAATGTATGGTCAGTTTTAAAAGGAGGCTTAAGAAATAATTTCCTTTTTATAATATGAAATAATTAAATTAAACCCTTACTTATTTCACCGCACCCGGCTCCTCCTACCCCTTTCTTTCATAGCGTCACCCCACCCCATCTTCACAGCTGCGATGCCACCTGAACCCAAGTCGGGTCTCTGCCGCGCCTTACCCACTCAGTCTACACTGCGTAACGCCTCTCCTCACCCACTCCTCCCCAACCCATGGTTATCAAATCGTGTATCGTATCGTGTATCGAAAACTTAATTATTTGAATCATGTATCGTGTATCGTATCATATCATATCGTATAGTAAGATACGCCTTTTTCAAACAAATTAATAAAATAATCAAAATTTTCTAAAAATTAATATAATCCCCAAGATTAATTAAAGAATTTTGTGGTATTATTGACTTTAAATTACAGTATTACATAATCAAAATTAATCACAAAATTTCAAGATTAATGTCAATATCTATATCTCCACTTATATTATTATTATTATCATGTAAAATGGGCAATACATATTCCTCTTCACTTTCTTCATGCAAAATAGGTAAATTTGAACAGGTTTTAGTGAATCGGGTTGGGTGACCCGGTTTCGACCCGAATTTTTTTTGGACCTTTGGCCCAAATTAATAAAGTCGTATCGATTTATATCGATATTTTTAAGGATACGAACGGATACGTATCGTATCGTAAGATACATATCAACATATCGAATAGTTTAGGATACACTCTCTGATACGTATCGTTGGCGACCTGTATCAAATCGTATCGTATGATACGTATCGGGTATCGTAGGATACTAACAACCATGTCCCAACCCATCATAGTTGTCAAATCGCGTATCAAATCGTGTATTGAAAATTTAATTTTTTGAATTATGTATCGCGCATCGTATTGTAGGATATGCTTTTTTCAAAAAAATAATAAAATCAAAAATAAAAAATTTCTAAAAATTAATATCATCTCCAAAATTAATTAAAGAATTTTGTGACATTATTAGCTTTAAATTATGGTATTACATAATCAAAATTAATCACAAATTTAAGAATCGATATTATTTTTTTTCAATCATTCATATCATTTCCTAGATCAATGTCAATATCTATATATCTACTTGTATTATTATTATCATGCAAAATGGACAATATATGTTCCTCTTCATTTTCTCTATGCAAAATGGGTAAATTTAGACAAGTTTTAGTGAACTAGATTGGGTGACTCGGTTCTAACCCAAAAAAATTTTTGGGTCTTTGGCCCAAATTAATAAAGTCGTATTGATTTGTATCAATATTTTTAAGGATACGAACGAATACGTATCATATCATAGCATACATATCAACGTATCGAAAGGTTTATGATACACTCTCTGATACATATCGTTGGCGACCTGTATCGAATCGTATCAGATGATACGTATCGGGTATTGTAGGATACTAATAACCATGCAACCCATACCTTGTTGCCCCTACACCATTGCGCGCTGCCCATGCCCCCTCCCCCACTGTGTTGCTTGTGTTGGTTTGCTTATGTCTGTGCGTAGGGTAGGGTAGGGAAACGGTGGAGGCAGTGGGTTGTAGGCCGGAATGGTAAGGGGTAGTGGACTTTGGGATGTTCGGGCATTGAAGTCAATTTCTGCAAAAGCTTTTTCCACATTGGCTGCATTGAATGCTGATGTTTCCATGAAATATAGGGACTCCTCCTCAGCAAATCTTTACCCTCAGTCAAGATAGCCACATTTTGTCCAAGATCTGACTTGTTGCCGATCAGCATAATGACTATGTTGGAGTCAGCTTGATCCCTCAACTCCTTCAACCACCTCCCAACATTCTCAAATGTGGAACGTTGTGTTACATCATATACAAGCAGAGCACCAACAGCACCTCCATAATTACTGCTTGGCGTGGCAATGTACCTACAATAACAAAGCGCCAAACTGAAAAGGTTGAAATGGCAGTGATTAAAGATATCACTGTGACAACCACAGGCAATTAAAAGTTAGATCATGAAATGGAGCATTATCATAAAAACAAATCATTACTAAAACTATACACAAGAAAATAAGAGTTATATGATAGCAATTGTCAATATTTAACACCAAAGGTAGGATGTCATGACATTGGATAGCTAAACAAGAGTGTTTTATGTGCAAGAAATGTGCTAAAGCTAAACAATGATTATAATATTCCATAATGTAACTAAAACTCCAGAAACCCATAATATTCCAGATATCATAACTAAAACTCTTCATCTAAATATCGAAAATATGGAAGAAAAAAAAAATCAGTACAAGTCTCCATAATGTAAAAGTTACAACTTAACAAGGAAACTAACAAACTTTCTTTACTTCACAACCCGTCAAGCTGTAGACAAAAATACCAAAACACAATTCATAAAGAGAAACACCAAATTTCAGCAAAAAGCTCAAAACTTGAAAGGAAAGAAATAAAAAACAATGTCACCTTTATCCGCCAGCAGTGTCCCAAATCTGAGCCTTGATGACCTTACCATCATTAAACTCTTGCTAGGAAGCTCAGA